GCAGACAAGAAACACAGTCATCAGAGATATGGGTTGATTCTAGATTACAGTAGGTAATCTCCATTTAAATCAATCATGTTTGAGCTCTTAAATACTGTAGTTTATACAAAATACTTTCAAAAAATGTACAATTGTAAATTAAAATCTGGTTCACTACTGTATATTTAATGTAGAGAAATTCTCACAGAACTTATACTTAAGTGCTGTGTCTGAAAACAATCAGAAACATATGAAAAATAGAGTTTTGCATTGCACAGAGACTGGTGATTGCATGTTCTGGAATTTTCCACTATTCTTCATTTCAAACCAGAAAGTTACCACAGCTTTAGGGCCACATACAAACAAAAATGTCTTCCAATGTCTTTGAAAGACGTTATACAGTACAGGTCTGAGGTTTGTCAACCTAGGAGGTCCCACTATGAAAAATCTGCCAACAACACATATTCATACATTTGTCTTTCCTAGAATTTATCTCATGGCCATATTCAGTCACATCAGAACAAATTATTATCTTCATGTGACTGTGATTTATGAATACATTCTGATTTTAACATCTCAGAGCCATAATCTCCAATATGCTATTTATTTTGAAATCCTAGAGGACCTTTCATAGATAATATCCTATATTAATCTCAATAACAATTCTTACTTAAGAGTTTAACTTACCATACAAGCATCTTAGCTAAGCAGGAAGGAATCAAGATGCACAAATAATGCCTTGTTGCCTTTGCTGTGAACACGATGTGTTTTAATAGTCTAACAGCATAAGGTAATATTTGCAAGAAACTTTGAACTATTATTTCAACACCTTGTAAAGCTAATACAGATATTTTATTTCTACTGTTACAATAAACAGTAGTGGTGGATTCCAACATCAAGAAGTATTGTATTGGCAGTCCATGAATAACAGCTCCCCTCCTGTGACTGACCTGGCAGTGGCTGGCATTGAGGATGTGTTTATAATCTCTGGGATTCTTTTACTATCATCTGAGATGATACAAAAACTATTTATAAAACAAATGCATAACTCTTAGCTTAAATGAATCCCTATTTCTGAAAAACAATAATCCATATAAATAGACAGATATGAAGATTTTCTTCTGAGACCTCAGTTATTCTCTAATTCATGTTTTTTATGCTTTGGTTTGCAAAAAAATTCATTACATCCCGTAGCTGTCCACTGAAGTATCCTGATATAGATTTATGGTGTTAAAGTAAAGAAATAAACTTATATCAGCACATTTATTAAAATTTGATATTTTGTAATTTTAAGATGTATCATATATGGATGACATTATAAAGTTTGCAATTTTCTCTGCTTTTGTATAGGCACTGAAATGACCTTTAATACATAACAGTTATATTTGTTGTAGGGCTAAAAATCTAAAACCCTAAATTTAGAAGTGCAAAGATGCCTATGGTAAAAAAAAACAAACAACCATATATAATGTAAAATATTTCAGGCCCACTACAGAAGATAATATTTATATTTACTTTTAGCATTACTTGCTGCATAATTCTGGAAAAGAAACCACATCTTTTATATGCAAAAAGATGATGATTCAAATCAACATGTCAATTCTGACATCAGGAAGGGTTTTAGCAGATTTTTTTTCTTTTTTTTTCATTTTATTGGAAAACCACATTATCCACCTGTTTTCCAGGCTTTTTCTGTGTGTATAAAAAGAGTAGTTACCTGTGACGTTTAAACCATCTGACCTTTGGCACCACACGGTCCGAGAGGATCCCTTCCATGGGCTAGCCATCCACTTGTATTCATAACACTGGCCATCTACAGAGAGAAAATTTGTTTTTCAAGAAATTTGATGACGAGATCTTAGGCTACCACTGTTAGCAACTACACTTCATCAGTAGATCATTCTCATTCTGTGACCACACTCATTATAGTTAACAGCTTGAACAGCTAAGTAGGGTCTTCCTCCTTCATCCAGCAACTTAGAAGACTGCACTGCATACATGGAAGCTCCAGCATCTCCTGCACTTACTGGACACACAGAGAATAGACCAGATGTGTCCTGGACACTAATTATAAAGGCTGTACACTCTGCTTTTTGAGTAACTCTGATTGTACTTAACGGGTAAAAGAAGTGTTTCCTATAACCTCATAATGGTTGTGGCCCATGTGCTGTGCAAAACTCATTTAGGAGTCAGGTTTTTTTCTTGGTAACACTGAGCTTCAGTCAATGTTCCAGTGCTTGGTGAAGTGGCCAGGGCTGCACCTGGCTTCATGTCTCAACCTGGGATGAATCATGAAGTCCTAATTCCTTTTTGCCTGATCTGACCTCTGAATGGACAAGAAATTTCTGTACAAGTAACTACTTTTCTTAGATACTTTGTCCACTACCACTGGTAAGCATGCAATTACCAATTCAAAGGGTAAAGAGAAATCTAAATTTCGTTATGCATCAAAACTTAAAGATTTCTTTTTAAAATGTTATTAAGTAGATAAGGCAACTCTTTGTCCCATATCATAAAAAGAAATGTAATTATTAAAAAATAATAATTTTAAAGTGGTAACATATGATAGTTATCAAATCTGCACTTGCCTAAATTTGTGAACTATAAACAGAAAGAAAACAAAATTATTGTTGTTCTGTGGGTTTTTTCTTACAGGAGGAGGCCTTACGTATATTTTTTTACTTACCGTTGCATGGTCTTGTTTCTAAAGCCTGTTCTGGACAGAGATGTTGATTCTCTAATTCCTGAATGATCACTGCTCGAGATCGGACTTGTATTCCCCCAAAGCCGAGATCCTCACCATTAACACAGGTGAGCTGGCAAAGGCTCCATTCTGACCATTCTCTCAAGTAACAGTCCCCTGTCAAAGAGCAATTTTTATAAGATGAATGATCATTGTATGTGAAGAGTTCTTAGCACTGAATACGTCTTAGAAAAAAAATGCCCAAATCCGGTTTCTTAATTTTCCTTCTTTTTAGTTCCTTTCATTACTATTTTTAAATTTGACTTATACTTAAGTGAAGATAATATTTTGACACTCTTCGAATATCTGTTTCATAGAAAATAGTAAAAAAAAGATTACACAAAGGCCTATTTGTTCTAAAGCAGGGTAGTTTCCTGTAGCATTCCCATAGGATCACTCTCTTTTTGAATTTTTAAACAATGCTCCACTCAATATCTGATTTTTTGTAAATTTTAAGGTATTGTATGCCCTATGCTAAATTTATATATCATTCTCTTGCAATTCTTCTTTGATCTTAGAAAGAGAAAACATTTTCTGGTATTAAAAAGATTAATTGTTGCTTATTCTCATGCAGAATTTCTCTCAACAGATGTAGAAGCAACTGCTGGAACATTCTTTGCAAGAAAGGGAAATGGGAACATGATTAAAATGTCTGCTTTGGCTATTTCATGTTACGATAATAGAGGTTTTTAGAATGTTATAGTGTAAAACCGAAAAATAAAATTATACTAATTAGCATGAACAGCTAAAGAACATTTAAGGAAGATCTGAGGCACAACACAAAGGAATCATTTTTTTAAAACTGCAGTCAAAAATTGGACTAGACTATGCACAGACTCATAAATAAACCTCTTAGTTCTCATTATTTCAGTGAAAAAGCTATTAAAAATTCATGCTACCTTGCATTATACTGATGGCAGATATAATCAGCACTGTGTTGACCAGATGCCTGATTAATGAAGGAATTTTATTTGCCAACGTTAGGAAAGCATGCGAAGAAATGAATAATTGACGAACTGGTATACACATAATAGGAAAACAAGTAGTGATTTTTGGAAACATTAGCTGGAGCGTATCATTAGCACATCCCCACAGGGCAGTTATTCTTGCTGGCTAAATATGAGATTGGGGAAGAATATGTTCCTGCTCAGCAAAATTTTAAAAGCAAGCAGTAAGCAGCTATTTTTTTTAAATTTGACTAATATGAAAACATAACTACAAGCTTAATATTCTTCCAATTTTTATTTAAGAAGTAAAATATGTGAAAATCATGCATTTGGAATGCTATGTACAAAGCACTGATGGAAGCCTCTCCATTTTTGATTAATTTCTATTTATTGAGACAACTTTGCTTTCAGTCTAATCTGAAATGAACTGGAAAAAAAAACTGAGAAGGAGGAGAATTTCAAGAGAATGAAAATAGGGTATTGGTATGAAATGATAGCTACATTAGAACTGAAGGAATTAATCACTTCTGAAGATACATCACTAATGATTACTGAACAACAGTAACATACTTCAGATTCTACAAGTAAGTGTTTGAAATGAACTGGAGGGGGTTTACTACAAAATTAAACAGCTGTTACGTGCTCTTAATACTGTTCAGTAGGAGGATCATGGACCTGATAATTCATAACAGCTCCTTTGGATTCAGTTCACAAAGTCAATGATAGTGCATGTCTCATCCAGAGAGTTAAACAGCTGAGAGGCACTCATGTTTTCTCAGAGATCAAAACAATAGCTTCATTTGGAATAGACCCTTCAAAGAAAAAAATAAGACCCCTTATCTTAGCTTCCTTAGACACCCATAAAACGCATCAAGTTCTTAGTCACTGGTAAAAGTATTAGTAAAGCTGTTAGGTGATCTAAGCACTTAAAACAAATATTTTGCTGCAAATCAACACTCTACAGAGTTAAATACAGTTTTTATTTAAAAACATTTTGTGAAAAAATATATTCTTCTTAGGTACAATCTATGACTGAGACATCTTTTATAAAATTTAAAACGTGGTATTTTTCTAATTGATTTATTGTCATGAAGCCACTCCTGGAAAGTAACTCTATAGGCCATTTGATGGATGAATCCAATCAGTAAAGCACATGAAAAGATTTAATTGCCTGTGGCCAATGCTAGGCACTAATAACTGTAACGACACCCAACCAATCTTGAAAAGCAACATTTATTTGAATGGCTTTGTTACCTGGACAAGGGACAGTGCAGGTTTCCTCAAGTATCACCTTCTTATCACCGTCTATAATAGGCTCTATTTCTCCACAGAATTCCTCATCTACTACTTTACCAACATCTTCAAGGGATCCATCATAAACCACACAGGAAATGTTCCTCACTCGTGTTCCCTCTCCACACTGAGCATCCTATGGAAGGAGGACATATATGGATACTGGACAGAAAAAAGTGCCAAAAGACTAGATTTGACTTATGTGTCACTCTGTCTTCTATTATTTTTACTTAACTACTTATTCATTCCAGTGAGGAGAAAAAAATAAAAAAAAAAGGCATAGTTCAATACTTCTGAAACAAAAAAATAAACAAACCCAACCAAAAATTTCTGGTGCCTGTTACCACTGTTTCTTAAAGTATGGAGCTATTTATGCCTTTGAATTGAAACCACAGCAGTATCTCAAGTGAAGATCTCTTCTAGTATATGGTTATATTTCTGCTGATATACTTTTACAATGCAAGTATTTAAATTATTAGCAAAAATGCTGCTTGGGTACTAAAGTTTACATTTATACTTTGAATATCTCTAGGATAGTGTTGTATCTGTTGAAAAATATGAACTCTAAGGAAAAAAAATCTTTAGTTTTTGTATAAGAGAGGTGGAAGCAAATTGTTTACAGCATTGTAAAGGAGGTATCTGGGTATATCCCAAATATGCGAGGTCCATAACTTCAAAGTCCCATATGGCTTTTACCTCTACTTTGCATGGAGACCATTGACCATATTGCCATCGATAACAAGGTTTTACTGGACAGGGTTTGAACTGCTCCATCTGAGAGGGACAAGGCCTCCCATCACCCTGAAATGGCTGATTTATGGTCCTTCTTCTGATCATTTTTCCTGTAAATAAGAAACAACAATATAACTAACAACGGAGTGGTTAGACTGATTCATTCCTCAAGATGGTTCTATTTTGCTGAAAAGTGTAGTATTTGAGTAAAGTAATTTTTTCCACATTTGAAAAAACTGAATTGTAAAACAGATCTGCTGGCTCTTGTCTGCTGTGTGGATTCATATTTTCCAAGACAGACACTTTATTGTTTGTTTGTACTGCAAGTGCAGGAGGATGTCTAATTAGGATTGCTCCTGTAACAGCAAACAAAAGCAGTAATTTCATAGTTCAGAAGCTTGCAGAAAAATATTCTTTCTCAAAGTGACAATATATTTGTAGCATTTCACTGGAGATTCCTGCTCCTCATCTGGAGTTTTCTGCTATAAGAGACCAACATTTTCTGTTCTTCCCTGAGTTAACACAGAAACATGTGTTCCATAATTGTCCGATTCCAGCAAATTGGAACAGCTTGCAACCTTGCATGACTGTCTGTCTCGATAATGTGACATGCAGATTTTGCAAGAGATGGAGGATTCTTCACTCAGGACCAAAGAAAATTAAAATACAGGAGGCTCATCTGACATTCATCTTCTCTTCAGCCATGAGTAGTACTCAGCTTCACTGAGATACAGGTTTTAATTCAAATACTTATATAAATTGAAAGCGGAAGACATTTTTATCCTTTCAGCAACTCTTGCTTCCTTCATCTTGCAGTGGATATTAGACCATTATGCTTCATTACAGAGACATCATGTGATATAACCAAAAATTTTCTTCTGTGTCTGAAGTAGTGGCCAAGCAGCTGTTCTAGAGTTATCACCTTACAAGGGTTTCCACAAAGCCAGCACAGCTGTAGTATTTTAATCTATATATAAATATGAGTCAAGTCTGAAAAAATTTGTAAATTGTATAAAATTTTAAATTTGTATACTAGGGCTTATCATAAACTAAGGCATTACACAGGTTTACCTACATAACACCTGATGTTAGCTCACCAAAGAATTAATCTTTAATCCTACATTTCAGTCTCATGCATTTGGAATTGAGTACTCTAATGATAATGACACAAATCTTTTGCTGAGAGCAAGCTACACAAGCTATGATGCAGAAGCAGAATAAATCTCCCAGACAGCTGTGTTCACTGCAGACAGCTAGAAAGATGTTTGTGAAGCAGAGCCTCATCATTCTTGAATTCACAGCTGCTCCAACTGAGATGTCATGGGAGAAAAAAGATTTTCTTGAAAAGTACTTCAGAAAAACCTCCAAAGAACAGCAAAGAGTAGAATTCTTCCTTAACTTTATGGGTATTTAAATGGGTGCACAAAAGCAGTTCAGCTTTGTGGTCATTGCTTTTATTACATGGTTATTACTTATTGAAAAAGACCAGTTACTTCACACTTCTTGCACAATAGGAAAATTACAGCTTGAAGGCTTACATGTGAGGCTGTCACGATCTGTTAAGAACACTGAAAATTTGAAAGTTCTTCTACATTACTATTTAAAATAAATGTTCTAGCTTCCACAAATAAATTCTATACTTGGAAAGTACAGGGATTTCAGACAGTGACCCACCTTCACATTTTGAAAAAGCACAGCAACAATAATTCTCATTCAGAAAAATATCAGGTCAGTTTAGGGTTTGTATGTAGGGAAAAGCTTGTTAAGGAAAATCTGGCAACATATTTAAGTATTCAGTGGAGCTGTTAGTTCAATTCTCACTCTATAAAGATTACTTTGAATACAGAAGTGTAGATTATTTGAATACAGAAGTCATACTGCGAGAGAACCTCCAAGAACTTATTTTGAGACATTTCAGAGCAAATAATTAACAAGAGTTTCCCATAATTAGAATGTGCCTTTGATTTCTGTTCTGACATATATTTGATTTTAAAAAACTTAGATAGTAGACAGCAACATTTTGGAAAAGAAACAAATTAGTGCAATTACAGTGAAAGTAACTTGTACCTTCATACTTGCTCTGTATTTAAAACCATAGAATTCTGCAGTAAGTTCATTAGTTTTAATCATTGTGCACTTCTACAATTTTAGTTGTTCTAAACTCATCACTAATAATGAAACTTAAGAGAAAATCCCTCTCTCCTTTTCCTCCCCCCACCAGCTGAAAAATAAATATTAACATCAATGTTTATTTTTGTCTCAATATATCATTCATCATATCTCACTTTGTTCCCATACCAAATTTTCATTATCTTCAGTGAGTAGTCTCATTCAAGCATATTATTTCCATGAATAAGACTGATTTAGATCTCTGTCACTCTCCTTAACTAGCTACACTTTATAGTTCTGCAAAAAGAGGTGTTATTGCTTTTATTAAAGAAAAAAGCCCAAGAGTTCAGTCTTTAAAATATGCCAAAGGTACGTACTGACCTGTAAGGCCACATGTTTGAGAGCACTCAGACCAAGGGGACCAGTCAGAGAGCTGACAGTTCACAGGACATTCCACCACACAGGACATATTCATTTGCCACGTCTTTTCCAAACCAAGCTAAAAAAAAATGTTGAAGTCAGTACATAACTCCAGGCCTCTCTGTCATCAGTGCAGTGTGATGCATTTGGACATGGTGAATCTGAGATAACTACAGCTTTATGCAAGCATGAAGTCATTACTAAATAAAAAGTAAAGCAATTAGGACATCAAAAATCTTACTTCAAGGCCATCCTAATGCATATGCTGATGTTTAAATGCATGCTTAAATTCTATTTTCATCAATCATTTTCTAAACTAGAACCTGTAAATGGAGGGCTTCAGCTCACAGTATTACTTTTTGCAAGGTAAAGGCCAAAGTAATTTTACAAAGTATCAATGAAGTATTTTGAAATGGGAGTGTAAAAATATCAATAGCTATTCATAACCGAATTGAAGTGATGCTAGGAGCCAGGTTCAAAACTACCAAAAGGAGGAAAATGAACATGTACTGGACAGTCAGTTTATTTATCTGAAGATGCTGCAGATGCTAAAAGTTTACGGGAGCTCAAGTGAGACTAAACAAGTTAATGAAAGAGAAATCTGAAGGTTTAAATACACAGAAACCCCATCAGGCAAATGCAGTCCAAGAGCTGAAAAGTGGTGGAGGTAAGTGCAAAAGTAGTAGATGGAAACTCATGGATGTCTGTCCTTATTCTTCCTTAGGCATCTGCTTATGCTGTCTTGTTTTTTTCCACCTTGTGCATGATATATATTACGCTATCCATGCAAAAATATTGACATGACATTGACAATGATATGGTCCAAAAAGAAAAAAATAAATATAGCTTTGTATGTTTTCCTGAAAAGCTCTGCAAATAGTAGAATCCTCTAACATTCATAAAGTAAAAGCTGCAATTGCTGGAGGAGTATTTGAGAAGGGGACAGACAAAATAAACAGACTCACATGTTTTCCCAAAAACATATTCTCTACTCAGTTCTTCCCTGAGTTGGATTCAGCCTAACAAAAACAAATGATGGAAATCCCCTCCCTCCCAAGGAAAAAAGAGTTTTATGATCATGCTTGGGACATGGAACAATGGCTACATGGTCCTTCAGCCTAATGAGTTGGTCTCAGAATGAGTTAAAAGGATAGGTCAGGGTGTATGATATAAAATGTGAAAGAAAATCAATCCTGCCCATATGAACAGATCTACATAGCTTTCCAGCATAAAAGACTGTCCTCTTTGTTGGACCTCACCAGTGGACCTTGGTCATCATTGAGGCCTTTCAGAATCCCAGGAGGTTGTGAATATCTTTAACTAGATAAAATCCCCACATAGTTTAAAAAAAAACCAAAACAAACTAGACATTTCAAAACGCATTAATTTTAATGACTGGAAAGGTTAATGACATAAAATCAGCAGTTAAGACTTTAAAAGGGAAATAAAACCACTATATCCTACTAAACACAAGAATAGAGCAATAATTAGGCACAACATTACCGTGTCCTCCATAAATAAACTACCACAAGTACTGAAAATGTCTCCTCCTGATAGACTCACCACGTTTTAAATTTGCATTTGCAATACCATTTATTGAGACAAATGCAGTTTTAGACCTCTGTTCTGTTTCATACATCAAAAAATGAGTTCTTGGCTTTTCTCAGTGGTTCAGTATAGCCTTGATTATACAGCTATCGCACACAGGCAACACCTGAAACCTTTGGATAATCTGGAATTCAGATGATTAGAAAACTAGAGAACCCTCTTTGAAGTCCTTATTTGGGTCAAATCTTCTGAGCAAAGGCTTTAAAGCCTGATGATTTGATTCCTGCCAATTATAGAAACACGACTGCTCTCTTTTGAGACTGGCCTTCTCAGCTGGACTTTGTCAGCTCAAGAGGGAAAAGCCCAAGAGAGATATTAACAATGAAGAGGAGAAAGCTGAACTCC